AAAACAGATTAAATCTTCATTTTATTTTCAGCAACATGTTGCAGCTACACACAGGCGGGCACATTAAATGTGCCTGTTCCAAAAGGCTTACATTTTTGATAACTTTGTAGCAAGAAATCAGAGGCAGACATACAGCAGTCTAGCTAGGGCAAAGCGTAGAAAGCAAGTGCGTTATTTTCAGGATGAAATTTTATTCAAACTGAGTTAGTTTTCGTCTCAAAGCATTTTGATTGGATAGTTAATATTCCAGTAAAATTATTATTGGCTGCTTGAGTTTTAGTTCAATTACATCACCAGAATAACAGAATCATATGACATAGAATTTTCTCGAAATGGCGCAGTGCAAATAGTGGTTGATATTTTTAGAATAGAGAAGGGAAATTAATTAACGCTCCTGATTTAATCTTTTACATATTCTTTATTTTTCTTACATATATATATGTACTATATATAGAGAGAAAGAGAGAAAGTAAAGAAATTTGAAGACGGAATTACATGCTAGTTTTTTTACAGAGCGGAAATTGGAAACTAAAAAATCATAGAAATTTAGAGAAAACGCAGGAAAACATGATACCATGCAATTAATACATATACCTCTAATACTCTTTTGCTGTAAAAAAGTATATTAATTAAGTTTGAATGGCTGTGTTACCATGACCTTTAACAATATTTGACCCATTAAATTATGAAAAAATAATAAAACAAAACTGAGTAGCAAGGTTAGGGCGTACGCAAGACTTACACATATTTAAATTCGGAAAACTTATAAGCAAACCCATTACATTAAACATAAAAACAGAACAATACATTGATATTGGATTGAATAAAAGAAAACCTGAACAGCAACGCGATGGCATATACAAGATCTGCTAAAAATAAAATGCAAATTAGCCCCTCAGAGAAATACGTTAATAAAAGTCATGCCATGTTAAGTACTTAATGATTGTCTTTACTTTCAGAATACAGTACTTTTACTCAGTCATGCGCACTTCTCTTTGAAAAGTTTAAATCCATACAGGGCCGATAGTGTTATCTCCTACTTTTAAGGATACACGTAATACATACGTACGAGTAGTATACAAATCGTATACAAATAGACATAGCGCTCGGAAACTAGTGCTAATAGTTGCTGTGCTATATTGCTTAACCAGCAAGCAGCAAGGAAATAAGAAAAAACAGACTTGGCATTGTTGATATCAGGTGGAAGTGGAAAGTGCACTAACATGGAATGTGCATGGGTTATACTAATATAAAATATAAAATTACGGGGGCAAAAAACATTTAGACTGGCACATGTTTTCCAGAAAACTTAGTTGAATTTTATATAAAATCTATGCTTATCCAAGTTTACTTTTTTTGTGCGTTCAAATTTTGTTTCTCAGAAATTAAAGTATGAACATGACGAATGGATAAGACTAGAGGTTTGAAGTTATTATGACAGAATCAGAAGTCACGCAAAGGAAATGTTTTCACATCCGATAAAGATATAATTATCTTCTTTATAGTCATCATGGAATGAAGATTATTGATATTCCTTTGTTATTCATAAAACCATCTCTTCAAACTTGGTAAAAGTGATGCTATAAGCAAGGTGGGCAGGAAAAACTTAAAACTGTACCGTTATAAATTTCAGCAATAGCACTTAGGATAATATATAAAACAATTTGAAATTAATACTGAAATTCGTTTGAAAGTTTTGAACATTATACTTGTATGCTAGCGTATTAAATGTAATAAAGTTTAAGTAAAACTGACATTTTTTTAGACACTGTTAAATGTGTTTATCCAAGTAAAAAGCGGATAGACGTTTAAGTTAAATCAAAATCTGTTTAGCGTTAGCATTTAAAAAAATAACACATTATTATTTTTCTTTCACTATAAAAAAATTAATAACTTATAGAATATCACTTTCTTTGGTAGCATTACTTCATGAGCTCTAGAAAGACTATAGGGGAATACTTTTCTCGTCTTAACTGTAGACAGACAAAGTCAGAAGAAGGGTGTAAATAACTCTTTTATTTGATTCACAAAGAAATAACAATGACCCAACTTGAGTTTACACAAGCCAACACTTATGGCTCAACTTAAACAAGTAATGTTAAACTACAATCAAATGTAGTTAGATTAGTCTAACGGCTCACAGGATCAAGTAAAGCAGTGGAAGGCTCTGGTTTGTAGAAAATTGGCGAGAGAAGCTTCACGGCTAGAAACACTCAACGTCACAGAATCAAATCGCTATTTAGTCACGGTAACAACGTGATCTCAAGTAGGCATAACACGCTCTAAACTCAACTTACGAAATCTTCTCTTAGCACTTCTTTCCCCCCCCAATCTGAATAAACGCCCACTGTCTCATTTACATTCTGGCATGAAAAACGTGTGTAAAAAGCAGGGCGACAGAAAATATACTTTAACTTAAAATTAACTATTAGACAAAAATAAATAGATAAATCCTCACAAACTATCTCCAAATTTTTAACAGTTTTGTCATGACTTTTTATAGAATCTGATGTTATTGTTAAAAATCTCGCAACAACATTTTAAGTCATTTAATGCACCTGTTTTAGATGCTGTAGCTTATTTTTATTGAAGTTATCATCATACATTATCTACCTACCTATCTATCTATTCTATCTATATAGATAGATAGATATTCTTTATATATATATATATATATATATATATATAGATAGATAGATAGATAGATAGATACATATGTTTATATATATATATATATATAAAGAAGGATGTAAGTGTGTTTGTGTGTTCGCGATTAACTCAGTCACTATTATAGATATCGTCACCAAACATTCTACAAATCGTTTCTGTGTCCTGGGAAAAGTCGACGCTCATTTTTTTCAAAAAAAAAAATATGCAACCTAAAATCAGAGATATTAATTAAAACTCTGAAAATACTAATTTTCGCCCTCATTTCTCCGAGTTGCAACAGTCTCGCACGCTGGAGATAAAAAATCTGCTTTATTTAGAGAAGTGTTGTCACTGCTCGCTTTCAAATCGTAGTTTGTTAATAAAAAATTTCGAAGTTTTACAAAGAAATAAAAATAGCATTGCCAAACATTAAATACATTACTTCCGATTCCACAAATTCATGGGAAGCTATTTCTTCTTACTTCCTATCTTTGTACGATTTTAATCTGCCGAGATATTAATTAACGACTCTGAAAACTCTAATTTCCGCATTCATTTTTCCGAGTGGCAATAGTATCGTGTGTTGGAGATAAATTTGCTTTATTTCGAAAAGTGTTGCTGTTGCTCGCTTTCAAATCGCAGAGTTTGGTAATCAAAAATTTGTAAGTGTTATAAAATTTATATATGTATCTTTGTTTGCTTGTTCGAGGTATTCATTTCTGAAAAATTTTGATCAATTTTTGCCACATTAAAATCGACTAAAATTGAATATAAGTGAAATATTGATTCAACATCGAGTTTTTACGACCATTTGATAAGAAAGATGAAAATCATTAAAAACTGCTAGGCGTTGTTGTTGATATAATGAGAGATTAGTTTATTTTTGTATCAAAATTTTTATGCTGATACCATATCGCATCAAAGTAAAAAATGTATGACTATGAATTATATTTTTGCATCGTTATTAGAGAAGGATTACAACGGTATCGTTCTCTCTGTTGTTAGATACATTACTCTCAATCCAGCTTTAACTGGCATCGGATACTTTCGCTAGTAAATTTTAAAACACTCAACAGCATTCATTGTGTTCATTCATTTACGACATACAGCTATCAAAACTATGTTTTTATATTAACAAATGAAAATGTATGTATCTATTCAACATAATGTAACTCACTCAGAATATCACAGCATCGCTTTCGAGATGTTGAGATGACTCAGAAAGAGAAATATCATCTCTTCCTTCTCTCGAGAACAAAAGATAAATAAAAAATTGGAGCTAAAAACAATTTTATTTAATACACGTCACGTGACTGAATCGAAGCAGTTCTAAATTCTGTAAACTAAGAACACTTTTAAAACCATGGATTACCGCAGCTGTTACCACAGCACCAGGTGAACAGCACAAACAAAGAGAGCAATGAGTATGGAAAAGATCAATTATTTGGAATAATCTAACAATGATTTCATTAGCAGAAGTATTTTCTAGAATATATTGAAATTCTCAGCAGAGCATTCTTGAGCCTGTTAAATGGAATAATCTGTAAGCGATTATGATATTTTATGTCAAATAATGTATGAGATAAGCTTAAATATCGAAATCGTATACATTTTATAGGGACTATGCAATGTGACACTATAAACTGGTGTTACCGTATGTTCGGAAGACCTCATAACAAGATGTGCCTGTATCTTAGACTTTTAGTAGCTTCAGCGATACTTTTCACCAATGGTCTCATGTATTATGTTCCAGCTTCTTAACATTTAGGTCAGAATCTTCTAGACTTTTATTTGGACTGATTACCTCACTTTCTAGCCAGTACATTTGACAGTCCAAACATTAGTAAACATTCATAGCAAAGTAACTGATCCAGCAGTTACTATCACCGTTCACCACAACTAAACTAAACACTCGCAACTAAATTAGCTTACCAGTTTATTCGCTAGATCGCCACAAAGCTATTTTTTTACCATTCTGAAATATGTAGTAGATGTTATTGAAGGTATTATCGTTGCTTGACAAGACGCTTTAATTTGAGGCACAATTCATTCCTATACAGTATTTTGGTTGCATTGAATCTTCTCTTCTGACATGATTACTGATGTGATTCCATCATAATAGTTTAAAACATAATATAATATTTTTGTTTCTAATGTAAAAAGAAAAACTATATCAAATTCCCTGAATGTGGATAGCTTTTCTTTAAAATTAATGACAATTTGTGTTCAAATTTTACAAATTTTAGAAATTTCAAGTCGTCATTTTCCCTTTCACCTGTTTACTTCTAACATATATTTTAAGTAAGCACTAATATTTTCTATTTAGTATTATATTACCTAATTTTTTACAGGGACCTGTCAGCTTTGTAAAGAACGAAAGACGAGGTCAAATACTTCTAAAGCAATTTCAAAGTAAGGCTATTTCTTTTATGAATTGGTTTTTTTAACTGTATAAACTAAACATTTCTATAATTGACATAATTTTACGAACATGAATGACTGATAGACACATTTAATAAAATGATAAAAAAATTATCTGATATTTTTATAATTCTATTAATATCTTCTATACCTTTTACCATGTCTGACTTAAGGTCATTTGATATTTTTTTATCCCATAGTTCATAGATAGGCTTTTAAAGTCTAACTAACCTTTAAAAGCGGTTTAGACAGCAGAAAGTATTATAAGGAGGTTTTAAGATGACGGTTGCTAGTCGTTTCTCCATATAAATGTTAAGCGTGCATTTCTTATTACACAATTATAAATTTTCTCAAAATAAAAAGGAAGTCTTATGAAAACAACTTCCTTTGAACTAAAATTTCGATTAGTAATATGTTCATTATGCTTTACTGAATTAGGTACACAACGTTCCTTACTTAATCCTGAGTTGTGTCTAGGGTTGTTACCTTTGAATAAGAGATTTAGCGTAAATATTTAAGGGATCAGAGGCCTTTAACCATCATTTTGAAACATATTGTATTAAAATACGTTTGAAAAATAATAGCATTTTATAAACTTCAATTTTTCATATAAAGTGTATCATAAGGCAAGCATAATTTAGCAATAAATTCTGTGTGCTAACTTGAAAAAATGCTAGAATTAGCATAAAGGCTCTTGAAGCTGTATGAAAGAGAACGCATTCCATAAAATAAAGAGCTTTTATCTAAGAACTTTTTAATTATTATTATAATGAAATTCATGTAAAAATTAACACACACCTCTTAAACTATAAAGTTGGGGTTTAGAAAATAATTGTTTAATTAAGTTGATTATATAAAAAGGCAAAAAATAAATATCGAATTTTGCGGTTTTTCACAGACACGATTTGTGCGTCTAATAGCAAATATTACTCCTTTCCAGATGGCTCAGAAGTGAAAATTGGTGAATATGATCCAATCACAGATGAGTTAGACCTCAGCAAAGGTGCACCTATCATCTGGAGTGGTAAGTGTGTATGAATAAATTTTATTAATGCAATAAAAAGCTTAACTTCGGTACTAAATACCTAACTTAAGTGAACTAAACAATTTCTCAGCCTTCAAAATGAATATTTGTTAAAAATAATCATACGTCTTTTTAAGATTTGAGCTGACGTTCAATTTTGGTTTGGTTTATTTAATTATGGCAAAGCACACTAGGGCTATCTGCCTAAGGTGAGGGATGCCTTCGTTGAGGACATTCTAAGGAAAACTGGCTCGTATACACGTTACACATGGAGAAAACCACGAAACGCCCATGCAGCCAGCCCGTTCGCTGGATTCGAACCTCGGACCGAACTACCAGTGCTCAGCGATTTTACCGCTCGGCCGCTGGTGGGCCGAGCCGACGTTAATTTTTGAATTTAAAAATCAAATAATCAGATATGGACATCGATTGTTTTATTAATAGATATAAGTATGTAATTTTATTTTAATATTTTTGGTTTTAAATAATTTTGTGTAGTTATATGCGATGCAATAAAATAACGAAATAATAATGTATTCTGGCAGATTTTAATTTACATAATTATTATTTCTATTGTAAAAACATATTAAGAATAAATACTGTGCAATGAATTTAACTTACGAAATTTGTGTTGCTTAACAGAAAATCATGCAAATAGTTTTCATTAATAATAAGGACTGTTTACATCATCTGAAAGTAACTGTTATACTGTTTTGGATATTATGTGAATTGTTCGTAACAGATATATAATGCGATCTCCGAATAATACTTCGTTTTACAAGCCCCGCGGTTCTGTAAGGTAATTAATAGCTACTTAACTACTGAGTTTTTCTTAGTGTATTAAAATACTGCAACTTTTAACTAGTACATTTGGCGGCTAAAAAAATTCAAGAAAAGCTACACGTCAAAATACGGTGGGGAGAAAACAAATGCTAGTATTCGTTTGTCTGACATGTTAAATCAACTTGATGGACACTATACACAGAGGCAGACACCCCCCCCCGAAAAAAAAAGCATCACTTGAAAAAATAAAGATTTTATTTTTATTTTTTTTTATGTTAGAGCATTATTTTATTCACATAAAATAACTTTAGTTGCTGCAAAGCAAGGTATGAGAATATTCTACATCACACGGCATCATACAGTGCTTCCAAAGTATTAGGTCATCCAGTTTCTATAAACAGAGCGACAAAAAGAGGAAAACAGACATTCGTCTCTTTCTGTAAGTGATAACAGGATGACTGCGTATGTTCAACTCATGGAGGTAAGAATCCTACCTCCATGGTTCAACTGACACAACGAGAAAATGCGTGGCAGCTGATTAAGCTAAAGAAGGATATTCAACACTTATGATTGAAAAAAAAATGGCTGCGATAAATCGCAGTCTCGAGAGCGATTAATTTTTAGCGTGAAACTGGTGACGTTGAAAGAAGGATCGGATCACGCCAGAAAAGGGCCACCACAAAATCTGACGATCGATATCTAGCGGACGGAAATCTCTCAGTAATCGTCGTGCAAGTGCTGCTGATTTAAAATTGAGTCTGAGAAAGGTCTGCTGATTTAAGCGTATGAACTGTGCAGAGATTTTTTGAGGAATGCAGTCTGCATATAAAGCCCCAAGAAAAAGTCTTTAGACACACAAAAATGCAGAAGCGACTTTCTTGGGAAAAGAGCATGTTTTCTGGACAAAAGCTCAGTGGAAATCAGTATCTTTTCAGGTTAAATCCAAATTCAATTTACATGAATCTAACGGTACGCTGTTTGTACGTAGACGTAAAAGTGAAGCTTATCATCCAGACTGCATAATGTCTAGCATGGAATTCAATCCAGCCAAATGGTCTGGAGATGCATATCCAGCAAAAGAGTTGAACGTCTGAAATTTATTACTATCAGTTTATACCGACATCTTGGAGGACTTATTAAAGCCAGTTACTCGAAACCATTTTAAAAGTGTTGTAAATTGCATATTTCCTAAGAATCGTGTACCCTATCATACAGCAAAATCGGCGAGTACAAGCTAGCCTGTTCATGCATCAATTTGTTGCGTCATTTACAAGTTTTCATCTTCACAACAAAAAGGATATTACAAAAGTAGTTTTCCTCCTATTTCTTCTATAAGTGCAGGCCTATCTTATATTAAAAATCTTGGACTTGCCTGGGAATGGTCCTGATCCGAACGCCACTAAAAATTTGTTGGCATATAATGGGTAACAAAATTGCTTTTAAGAAGCTTGCTACTAAGAGTAAATTGTAGGAAAGCATTATTAAGGTGAGAAATATGAAACTGGCCAAGATTACATTCCGAAGTTGATATAGTTGATAGTTGAAGTTGATAGTCTATGCTGGACTACTGCAAGGATGTCGTCGTAGCTCGAGGAAGTGATTCTTTATGCGTGTATTAACTACAACTATTGTTGTATATGAATTATTTTATTCCAGGTTTTGTTACATATTGCACGTTTTACTCTTTTTTCATTTTCTGAGTAATTAAGCGTAAATAACTTATTTATCTTCATAAAATACGATAAGAATTAATCCTACAACTTTATTTTACTGTAACAATATGATCTTTTCTTAAAACACGTGCATAAAACACATTATGTGTACACTTTTCCCCTTTTTCGCAGCTGGTGCAGATTTTTTTCTCCGCCAATGTACTTACTTCCATATAGTAAAATATGTCAATTGGATTAGAGTTTGAAGACTAAAATTGAACACAGCATTTTCAAGTCGTTATTAAATTATTTAACTTTTATCGCTAAGGAACGGACATTTTTTGTAATAATTGTACGCATCTATATTATTGCTTTACATTTGCTTTTTTTGATACAGGTGGAAGTGGACCTCCGGCCGACAGAACTCATAGAAAGATTGCTAGAAAGAGGATAAGCATAACAGTTTATTCCATCCTAGTAACATTCGCTGTGTTTGGCATCATCATAGCCACGGTCTTTCTTGTAGTCAATATCAAATACAGGAACCAAAAGTAAGCAGAAATTTGTTTTATTATTTAATTTTTCTTTATTTTATTACTCTGTATTTTGTTACAAACGAAACGTATAATTTAAAGGAATCTGTAGTTAAGAGCATTATATTACAGTGTTTAACAACAACAGAAGTTAAAGCAATAATTTATTACTATCGGTAAACATTGTTTCTCCTCGATATAAAGCAACAGTAGTGACTGGGTACAAAAATAACATATATTGATATTCATCAGGCAAGGCATGTCCAAACCAGTATCTTAAATGGAAAAAAAAATAGTCGTAGCTGTAGAACACAGATGGCCGCAAGGGAAAGAAAACGAGCTATTTCCTTACTTAATGGTACATTTAAAATGTATATAAAATGTTATCTAACACTACAGTTCTTTAAAAATAGAATGAAAATAGATAAATTCCAGTAGCAGATGATAGATGCCTGCTGTTCCTCTCCGATACCAGGCATTTTTATAACCAGTTTTTTTTTTATGTCTGGAGATATGCTACTCGCACTAGAGATTTTTAGAACAGATTTTAAATGAATATTTGTTAATGTACGTCTCACTCGAGATTTGTTTCTTTTCATAAATAAGAAAAATTATACATACGTGTTTATATGTTGTATAAAAGTTGTTTCCTAAGTGAGAAAGTAAGTATAGAAACCACATGCGATGCGAATTTGCAGCTTTTTTAGAACCGCCCAGAAAAGTGTCCCTGTAAAATTTGAGGGCACTCACTTCCTTCAATTTTTGCTTTAGAGATGTAGCAGCACTAAATTTCTCTTAATTCTATCTAAATGTAAGCTGGTATTTTCTCATTGTCAGTTGAGAAAATATTTTTGTGACGAGGTCATCTCAAGAGTTCTTTTCAGCTCCCAGTATGGTGTTGTACGTACGCCCAGAAATTGAATGGAGTTACTGTTTTAATAAATATATTATAAATAAATACTTTTTATTATTTTCTCGACGTAACCTGAGTTCCGCAGAAAATTGAGTAAAGAAATGCATACAGCCAGCGGGCCACGAGTTTGAATGCTTGTATTAGGCCCTTAGAAACAAAATTATAAGTGAATAATATAAAAATACACCTCAAACAGTAGGAAAATGATAAATGCTGCAGTAAAATTTGGCATACTATTTTGTTTGAATATCATGCAACATAAGTGCATAATAAGTGTCATGGTAAAATGTTTTATTAGTTATATTAACCATGTTAACGCGTCACCCTTATTGGTAAAGATATTAGCGACGCTACGTGCCGTATCAGTCGGCCCGGCTTCCCTAAGCGGCCCTCTTTCTCTATACTTACAACTTCTGGTACTTGAATTGAAATTCTTGTTAGGAAGTTGTTATAAGGAAAGAGGGGTCGAAGACTCTCGGATTCGTCCCCTCAGGGGTTCATCAAAACTGGGATGGAGTTTTCCCTTTCTCAGGGGTGTAATTCCGTCGTATCCTATGATGTAGCCTGGAAAACGTTTTAATGATGAGAAGATTAAATGAGGGATGGGTATTTTCTATTCTTAACCATTGCATTAAGTTGCAAGTGCGTAGCCAATTGGAAAAAAAATAATAACGATATTGACTTTAGTAATATTATTAAGAGTTAAAGTGCTTTCTATCTAAATAACTAAGATTTATATGCCGAGCAAATGCGTAATTCGAAAGAAAAATGAAATTATTTATGCAATTCATATTCAGCAAAAACTTTGAAAACTGTATATTTTACAAATTACGTGGATGTTAACTGAAGGAAGGCAACAGCAATGGGTCCTGTTTCTGTCGTATAATGGGAAGCTAAAATGAAACGACTACAGACATAATTTATAATGACAATAAATAAAAAAAATAAAAAAAACGCTAAACGCATTTATAGAATATTCTGTTTACTTTGTCGAACAAGTAAATAGGAAGAATGAACATAAATTGTGTATATAAAAAAGGAATAAGAAACTATTTTAAAATTGCTGCTTATTTTTATCCGCAAGGAAAGAAAAGTAGACATTAATACATTAATTAGGGTTGGTGTATTTAATTATGGCAAAGCACGCTAGGGCTACCTGCCTTAGGGAAGGGATGCCTTTCGTGGAGGACTTTCTAAGGGAAACTGGCTCGTATACACGTTACACAGGGAAAAAACCACGAAAACGCCCATGCAGCCAGCCCGTTCGGGGGATTCGAACCTCGGACCAAACTACCAGTGTTCAGCGACGTTACCGCTCGGCCGCTGGTGGGTACCTTAATTAGGTTAAAAAAAACTATTCACAAAAATCTAAAGTTAAAGAGCGCTGTAAAACAAACAAAGATTAAAATTCTCATTGTCAGGTAAAACTTGAAATATTTGCGAAGAAACTGACTATCAGAGGAAGAGATATAGAAAGAAACCCAAATTTATGTTAGACTGAATTAAAACAGAATGCGGCCTGAAACGAAAATATTTTACTGATCTACCAATTAATTCCTTACCAGTACATTTCAAACTACTACAGCTTTGTGAATTATATTCTGCTATAAATTAAATGCTTTTCTATATTTCTCAAAAATGCAAAATTTCATCCTTATGAAAATTTTTACTATTTAAGGAATCTGTTAACCAAATATAAATTAGATGTAAGAAACAGTGTTGTAAGAACGTGAGTGCAGCAGCCTCGTAAGTTCACTTGAAATCTAAAAGATATATCTTTAGTTCTTGGCTGAAGCTTTAATTTATGCATTGCTGCGAAATAAAATATTTTTAAAGTAAATATATATATAAATATAAAGCAAAATTCTGAAAGTGTTCATATTTTATATTACGCCCAAAGGGGTGTTTTTGAACGTTTTGTGCCTTACTTTTATTTATTAAATGCCATGTTCTCCGCACTTAAACCATTAAACATAATTCAACAGTCTCGCGCTGGAGATCAAAATGTTTCTTTTTCGTACAGTTTTGCCATTGCTCGCTTTGAAATCGTTGAGTTTGTGAATTAAAAATTCGTTAAAGTTTTATAAAATTTGGTATAGATAATAAAACAAATTCAAAGTCTGGGCTTCCAAGTGCCCATGTTCTGTTGGAGGACTACGTTATTCCAAAATTTGATGGCTCTAGGTACCGTTGTTTTTTCAGAGTGCGAAAAACATTCATGCATTTATGCAGATTATTCATTATTTAGTTTCTTTAAACATAATACATGTCGATAATATTTCGTGGCAACAGTTTGAAAAGTGAATTAACGTAGAAATTGAAAGGACGCAAAATGCCGTTTTGAGACCTTTGGGTCTAACGCCGCTTTGGGCTAAATATATTTTAATTCCTATTGGCTGTAAAGCATGGATAAACACATTTTTAATGGAAAATATTTTACCATTATCTGTGAAATCAGATTACATTTCCTATGCTTATGGTTGAGAACACGGTAATTGCTTTCTTAATTGGGAAGGAATAGTTTTTAACAAGCAAAATAAATATTTGACGGAGTAAAAAACGATTGATGGAACGCTTAATAAAATGTAATCGTAAAACCTAGAAATCAATCAATACGCGAACTTCTATTTAAAAATCAAAGATTCAGTTTTGACATCTAAAAATCACTAATATGTTCTGAACAAACTGTAGAAAGTGCATCTGAAGTATCTACTAAATGAATCTAAAACATTACATGCATTGGAACAGTTTGCTTGAAATGAAACTTCGAAAATATATCTGATGAAATCAATCACGCCATTATTCCCATAAACAAATATCTCTTACGCAACTACGTAAAACAAGGCCTAGCAGATTTTAATTAAAATCTTGAATCAGTAATAAATCTTCGTGAAAGCCCTTCCTGTTTAAGTTCTCCCGCTCCTTTCACCTAAATATTTATTCAAGCGAGGAGAGGAAATTAATATACGAGGAACGACAAAATTTCTCATGTTTCTGGCAATCTGCTCATGTACTTTTCCCTGAAGTTGTGTCTTTTTTTCCTCTTTTCCTGTTATAAGCACGAATTACAAAGAACGCTCGAAAGCTCTTCATTTTTAAAGCTTTTTCCCAAAATGATTTCCTTCTTGGTTTGTGCGTTTGCAATTATCTCTGTTTCATGGTTCAGAGAAGGTCATTTTACTGACCGAACAATTGAATAGAAAAATAAATAAAAGCTCTTAGTTTTTCGCTTTAAAATATAAACACAACTGAAAGCCACCCGTTTAGCGTGAATTATCTTCACAAATGGGATAAAATGCGCTTGTCATCTGCATGGTAAATACAGTATCGATGGTCCAGGCAACTTGCCACTTACAGAAACTTCATATGTTTAGCACAAAACATTATATTTAAAAAAAGTGATAATCTCAGCTTAAATTGTAAAAAAGCAGACAAGACAACGAATTAACATATTAATGAAGAATATTAATTATTTTTTACTATTAAATCACTTCTCGACTGCAAGTCTTCTTCGTAGGTTTAAGCAATCTTACGTGTGCTTATAAAGTAATTAATAAACATAAAAATCTTACAAATTTAAATATAATTCCTAAATGATCACTATTTGCCATTTCTCTAGCTTCTGTGTGATATTTTGTTTGAAAGTCCGCTTATCATGTCCGGTTATCATGGTTCTAATTACCGATTTCATAATTATTTCACTCATCTGAAGTGTTTGTACATGTGCATATCGAAACATTTATCCGCATTAATGTTTAATTATTTATACATATTATATTACTTAATTCTTTTGATCACTGGCTTCCGAGACAGTTTTTGATAAATTTAAAACGTATTAGTCCAAAGGGGTTTTGTCTCTGAAGGACTATTGTTTTCGTTTCGCGATTTTGCGTTGAATTATTATAAATGTCCTTTTCACTTTTCAAACTGTTGCCACCCAATATTATCGCTTTGTATTATATTTGAAGAAATTAAATAATGAAAAATCTGCATAAATGTATATTTCTCGCATTATGATAAAACAACGGTATGTAGAGCATCGAATTTTGAATGACGTAATCCTCCTACGAATATCGGTATGTGGAAGAACAAATTTCAAACTTGG